ACAACGTCAATGACGCCAGACCACTCTGATAAGAGTGTCCGACTGAGAAGAAAAAGAACTATTTTATTTTTCGCGTATCTACAAATAACTATTTTGTTTTTCGCGTATCTACAAATAACTATTTTGTTTTTCGCGTATCTACAAATAACTATTTTGTTTTTCGCGTATCTACAAATAACTATTTTGTTTTTCGCGTATCTACAAAGAACTATTTAAAACTACCCAATTAGTAGTATCTAGGAGATTATCATATTCATTGCAAATACAGTACTATTATTGTAATCGTTCATCCTAATTAATATAGCATGTAAGTACCAATTAAGTATTGTTTAACTACATCGTATATAGATGCCTTGAGTTTAGATAACGATCAGATGTCTAATGCGAACTATTGTACAAAGTTTGCTCATAACATTATTATGTTATTAGTTGGCAGACTTCGGGAAATTATGATGAAGTAAAATTAACATTGTAGTACGAATGAAGAGATGTACTGTGTTTTGTGTAATAATTTAGTTTGTCTGTTGACAAATATAAAGATATTTGTAAAGTTATTTATATTCAGTATATTTTTTCTAATTGATATTTCATAAGTAATTAAATCACTATTTCAGTAACAAAACATTGCGATGATCCTCGAATATCAATTGAAACATAGTTGGTTCAAAAATTTACAAAATATGGTGGACGGCAATATCAAGCCACGCAGGCATCAAAAGAAACCTTGCATTTATAAGATATTTAAAATAGGAATTATAATAAAAAGTCATAAAGCAGTTCTAATGTCACTAGCGGATTATAATAACGTATCTGGAGGAGACCGAAACTTCTATATTTTCTGATTCTTGGACTCATCTCCTCTCAACTTAAACAGTTCTTCTAAAGAAAGACAAAAGCTAATGGAAGGACTTTTGGATTTTTCTCCGAGGATTTACTGTATTTTTTTTTTATTGCCTTTGTAGGCAGACGTGCATTCGGCCCACCTGATGGTAAGTGGTCATCGTCGCTCATTGACGTCAGCAATGCCAGGGGTAGAGCCAAGCCGCTGCCTACCAACCAAGCCGCTGCCTACCAACCAAGCCGCTGCCTACCAACCAAGCCGCTGCCTACCATAGTATATAGTATTACCATAGTATGGTAGAGATTTTGTTTGAATACTTGTACACGATATTCAAAACAATTTTTAAAACACAGAACCCCATATAAAGAGTGTGCAGTGTCGCTGGCTTTGCTAATAGCCATATTTTACTCACGATATAATTCACTTTGTAGAAACGGGCTCAGGGCGATTTCTGGCACACATTCGCTACTAAACGGTCTTATTCACATAGATTAGCCGTTTGGACTGCTGAATTACATTAATTTATGTACAGCTTTGTGGTCAGAGGAATGTGCGTTGTAGTAGTATGTGTGGCTTCTCTGTAATTTGATGTAGAATCATGAGCAAATACGGGAACATGATCGCTGTCAACTTTAACTCACAGCCCACCTGGTATTAAGTGGTTACTGGAGCCCATAGACATCTACAAATTAAATGCGCCACCCACCTTGAGATATAAGTTCTAAGGTATAGTGTATATATATACCTCTTGTGAGTCCGCGCGGGTAGGTACCACCGCCCTGCCTATTTCTGTCGTAAAGCAGTAATGCGTTTCGGTTTGAAGGGCAGGACAGCCGTTGTAACTATACTGAGATTTTAAAACTTATATCTCAAGGTGGTTGGCGCTTTTACGTTGTAGATGTCTATCTATGGGCTCCAGTAACAACCTAACACCAGGTGGGCTGTGAGCTCGTTCACCCATCTAAGCAATAACAAAAAAAGTCACGACCACTTCTACTAACTACCATACTAAGCCTTAAAATGAATTCAGTTAGAGTGTCTAGGCTTAGTGATAATAAATTTAAATAATAAATAAATAAACAAAAAACAATCACTATACATATTGTATTTACTAATTTCAAAGTGAGCCCCGATTTGTCACTCGCTAAAGCTACACTGAACTCGTCGGTCCCTCATTTGGAGCGTTTACAAATAGCGTACCACAAATTTGCGATAATTTCTGACATTCAACTTGATTACAAAGTAAAATGGCTTCAGTGCACGCTAAGTAATTTTCGATAAAGTTATTTGTACAAAATCTTTAGTATCGGTAAGTAACGTAGATTAAAAACCAGATTAAATAATGAGGTTTGTAAGTTTAGTTAGTCAGGTTTTTTTTAAATAGAATTCTATTGATTTACAAACCATCACAATGAACACAGATAACCGTCATTAACCGACTATTACCGAACTGCATTCCGTATTCAAATGCGATGTGATTTGGAAGGCGTCCGTGCCGAAGCGTCCAACGGTAACGCCATTATGCACCTACCATTTTATTTAGACACTGCCTCTCTAAGCCAGCCTCGAAAAAGTGCAGGAAAAGTTAAAGCGTAGGTTCAAGTTAATCTGGACGCTTTATACCTGCGAGAGAACAGTGATGAGCCATTCCGCTGTTACGTACCTCAATGGCCGGCTGTTAAGCTCTGAACGAGGCCTTATGACCGAGAAAAAAATATAGCAGATAAAACAGAGAAGGGTAGTGAAGCTGTTTTATGTCCGCCTGGTACGATAAAAATGAACGGAGATATATTATCTATGGGAAATATGGACGGGCATTGAATTTTTGAGGACGGGCAAGCTTTCAATCCTTATAAGTATTGATTGAGCAAAACAAACCTTCTTACGTAAATTGGAACGAAGCCGTCAAACTGTCTTTTGACAGAATTTTTTTTTTTGTCAATTTACCACTGAAGTATGAAACCTAGAATTTACACTATAAATTAAAGGTATCGGAATTTACTCCTTTAGAATCGATTTAATTTAAAGCCCGAAACGAAAGCTGGATCGGTAGTAAAATGGAGCATTAAAAAGAGCACGTTTTTCATTTAAATAGAATGATGTACTTTATTACTTAGCACTTAAACAACAAAGTGTGTTGTATTTTGTTGTCACGTCTCATCAAGTGTAAGGTTCGTAAAATGTCCACTTGATATAATAATATATACTAGAGGTCCCGCAGTAGTCGAAATTCAACTATAATTAATTGGAATTGTATGTTTGTACACTATTATGATTTTTATTTTATACTTCTATAATCACAAATTTCGCCAAGTCTACTCTATAAAAAATATTAACAAAGACAAACAATATTTAATCTCAATTTGACAACAGAAGTCAAGAACAAAAGTTTGACAATAAATAGTATGCATGCGTGTGTGCGTCAAATACATGGTATGTAGTGTGTGTAATGTTTTCTTTATTGATTTAATGTATCTTTTATGCATTATTTAAAAAAAATATTAGCATTGTGCACTTATTCTCTATAAGTGTGGAAAATTTCATACTCCTCCGTCCGCGCAATTTTCGTAAAAAGGGATACAAAGTTTTTGCTTCACGTATTAATATATATATCACACAGAGTATTATAAAGAATATATAATATAGAATATAGAAATATTATTTCTCTTATTCTTTATGTATTTAATTACTTTTTTACTCTACTCTGTAGTGTACCCAAATTTTTCATATTTAATAATATATGGCAGGGATTTCATATATTGCATAATAATATAATAATAATTTACAAAATACAGCACGTATGTACCTATATATTATTTTTGTAAAATATGTACCTTAAGTGCATTTTTGTATGAGTTCAATATGTGTAAATGAAGATGAATGAAAATATAAACATGCTTTTAGTACGCGCTAATAAGAGGTGGGCTATTGATGCATTTAAGTATTGTGTATTGGATCAGAAATGCAGTTTAGGAGTAAACTCCAGTCGCGTGTTGGAATTCACACATATTTTTTTTGTCATTTCTGTAGATGCTCAATGCGCATCTGTTTATCAAAATATCAAGGCCTAGACTTCACAAGCGTGGATCCCAACGAGGCAACCCGAGGCCCAAATAATGTGGAGAGCTGTCCCACCCTTTATGATTGCTTCGCGACAGAAATAGGCAAGACAGTTGTACTTTCCCGCGCAGACACAAAATACACCACAATTAATTACTTGAAGTTATAAACTTAACTTTGGGATAAAATTCGAATAGTCTTGAACACGCTTTAAGCTCTAAAAAAGTTGGTACATTCCTACGAGATTCCAGGGGCGGCAGAGTCGCATTGCTCCCACGAACACACTTTTAGGCCACCTATGCAAATAATAATTTCAATTTTTTTTTAAATATTATAATAGGATTTTTACTTTTATCTGCCGTAACAACTTGTGTTAGATTTGAATTAGTTTTCCAATAAAGCGTTGCCAACCTAACACAAACATCTTCAAAGAATATTACAACAATCAGTCTCAAAGGAGAAGTTTAAAAGTATCCCGCTACGTCCTTTAGAAATATCAAATTAGGTTGCGAATCAACAAATCGGAACTTCTTAATATTGAAATTAGAAACGTAAGGAGCCGTAGCGAGGAGAGTCGTCGCTAATTAGCAAAATGTATATAATAACGTTCACGAAATTCACGTTTGATTGAGTGCTGTTAATGAGACATCAGAACATTTCTGTGAAATCGACGAATTATACGCCATTATCGTTCAGACTGGAATTATTGAGTTTCATTTCACGTGACTTTATTTTGTTAAATAACATTTCGGTGGCGTATTTTTTTTCTTATTTTTGTCACGTTTTTTTTATGTGTAATTGAATCTCTCAACGTTACCTTAATCAAACTTCAAGACGGCCGTGTAAAAAGAACCAATGAAAATACTGTAATATGAATTTTGTTTTTGTTTGTGTTACCAATAAAACGTTTATTTTTAGTTTTTATGCGTGTGCTCCTAATAGAACAGTCTACTGAATATACCAGTGGTAAAATCAAGTTTGTGGTTGAATTATATTGATCATTCTCCCAACATACGAAGACCGTCAAGTCCCGTGCCGTCAAGAGGCATGAAGGAAAAATCATTCAAAGCCAGTCATTCTGAAAAGTGATGGTGCTTACCGAATTCACCGCCGCCATCACACATGGGCCTCGTAGTTGCTTGCTACCACCTCATTCTGTAACAATAAAAATGCTTATTAAATTTTATTGCAGACTAGCTGATCCCGCAGACTTTGTAGTGCCTCAATCGATAAATAAAAAAGCTAAAGGTTTGTATAAAATAAACTTAAAACAAACAAAAGAAATCCGTCTGACGGGGGACAAAAAAGGACAAGGAAAAACAAAATTGTTTGGTTTTTTTTTAAATTCCGAGCATTTTCATATTTATCTACCTTTTAAACCTTCTCTGGACTTCCACAAATAATTCAAGACCAAATCGGTCCAGCCGTTCTGGAGTTTTAGCGAGACTAACGAACAGCAATTCATTTTTATATATAGGTATATATTAAAAGCTGTCGGTAAAAAAATAAAGAGAAAATTAATCTTTTGATTCTCAACGCTTCACCCAATAGATAAACCCAATCCACCACGGCATTTGAATTTAAACTTTAGACAAATTCTACAACTAAATTTTCCTAACATTTAGAACAAAACGTACAGAATGCGATTAGGATTTGAACAACAACAGATAAATCACTATATTGACCGTAAGAGTTCACTCACAGCTATTAACGTCCGCCTAGAAATGAATTAATCTAAAATATTATCACGAACGCTTTCGAAATCGGGTCGGCCTTGTTGACATCTCGTATGTGTTCTGACTCAATGCAGTCTCACAATCTCGTCATTGATATTAGAATATATACCTTAACGTCCAGCAAATAGATGTAAAATTGCTTGAAGCATAAAGCAAGAAAACACGTCTCGCTAGAGTTAGAATAGAAAATCGTTGTCAGTGGGGCAAATGTCCAGCTCGATTAATAAATTGAATCAGGCGAACGTTCCGAGTACAGTATGCGCATATGTTAAAATAAACGATATCATAGTAAAAGCTTTGAATGCTCACGTAGTTGTCTTTTATATTTTACTAGCGACCCGCCCTCGCTTCGCTTCGGAAACATTAAATTTTATTATTGATAGCTGAGTCTCACGATGTTACCCGCGGTTATTGTCGTACCGCGGGTGACGCCGCGGGGCGGGGCTAGTCTTAGCCTAAGTTACTCCTTATATCATCAGCTACCTATCAGTGAAAGTCTCGTCAAAATCTGTCTAACCGTTCCAAAGATTAGCAAGAACAAACAGACAGACAGACAAACAGGTAGACCGACAGACAAAAATTGAAAAAAATGCTATTTTGGTGTACCGTATATAATATATTCATATGCATGTAGTAAAAAGCGGTTATTTGAATATTACAAACAGACACTCCAATTTTATTTATATGTATAGATTGGCTTTGATCTTGTCAAAATCTCGGATTTCTCTTTACGCGGATTTGTGAGATACTTCAATTAATGCAGTTTGATAACTATAATAGGTAGATATTATAATGTAATTAACGTTTGTTTTAAAAGTAGGATTAGCGAAGAAACAGTGTTCATAGTTTTTAGTGTAATCACTACGATGGGTAAACCAATATTTGGTTTAAGCAACATTTTTTCGATTTTACAGGAGAGTCATTTAAAGTTTAAAATTTGGAATAAATATCATGACAAAAAACTTCTTCGGCCATTTGAATGGGGTAAATATAAGTCAAGTTCAATTAAAAACATATAAACTAATATTGTAAAGCTGAAGAGTTTGTTTATTTTAACGCGCTAATCTCAGGAACTGCTAATCCGATTTGAAAAATTATTTCAGTGTTAGATAGCTCATTTATTGAGGAAGGCTAAAAGCTATATAACATCACGGCAAGACCAATACAAGTGGAGAATCAATAAAAATGTTTCAAAATAGGGGTTTAAATAGTTCCTTAACATTATATAATTCAAAAATATTTTCACTTTCTACGTAAATGAAGTGGGCGGTGAAATTTAGCGTTATGCCAAAGTAACTATTACACGCGGATGGAGTCGCGGGCAAAAACCAGTACCAAATAAAATAGACCTTTAATTACAAATTGTCGCGTATTAAGCGAAATGTCGCTTAAATCAAATAGCCACCTCTCGACAAGATGTTGACCCAAAACAATATCTACACCTAAAGTTTTTTTCCCGATCCTGCGGACAGAATGGAGAGCAGTCGACGTCGCCCAAAACACGTCATCTCGGATCCTCCCGATCCGCTAACGGTGCTTTTAGGTACTTCAAGCACCGGTCACCGTTCTCGTCGAACCCTTCGCTTGCGACGAAGGGCTCGACGAGTAAGTTAACTCTCAGACACAGCCCACTGAGTTTCTCGCCGGATCTTCTCAGTGGGTCGCGTTTCCGATCCGGTGGTAGATTCTGCGAAGCACGACTCTTGCTCCGTATTGAGGAAACCGAAGCAAGAAGAAAAAGAAAAAGTAACATCGAGGACGCTCGAGAAGTACAACGTCATATATTGTCAGATAGCGGAAACACATCGAAAATACTCGACTTGTGAGTTAATATGTTCTCGATAATTCTAGGGATGTTGTATCGACTATAAAAGCGTTGCAAGGATGAAACGACGTCAGTCAGTAATCGGATCTATTCGAAGCGAAGCAGCGAACGGATTACTTGAAGCGAAGCGGAAGAAATTAACTGCGAATTTGAAAATGTTCTATAAGTGTTTTAAGGGTTCTAACTGTTAATACAGTTTCAATTTGTACTTCGGTAGCATTTTTATTTATGCCGAACTCCAGCGCGTAATAATATTATGATTCGAAACTGAATCGAAATAATTAAGTATGTACTCTAACTAAAAATTGTGCCGTTTAAATTTATAACCGTGTTCCAAATTCCCAACTATTAACTAAAAACGACAGGAGATAAACCGTCACTGGCCATACGTACGTGGTAGTGAGGTTCGCGACGGATAGTCTAACCCTCCGAAATAGTCGTAAAACTCCCGAAAACTGCCCCCTTAATTAGTGCCGCAACTATTTCCACGCTTTTCGAGCGTTCTGTTTCATTAAAATTTTATACTTAGTGCTTTATGAAACACTAGGGATTACTAGTACACAAGGGCTCTACCATAGGATCCTGTGATGTTGGTTTGTCTGTTTTTGATGGATCGCCTACTGATAAGCGCTTACTGGAGCTTATAGACGTCATAACGTAAAAGCCACTTTGAGAGCTAGTAGCCTCCGTTGAGTTGTACAACAAAGTTGAGTTCTTGTCCGCGCAGGTCTACGTCGCGGCGGAAACAGGTTATTTTACTAAAGTAAAGTTTTACAGTTACCTAAGTTACTTCTTAAAATGGAAAACAATTCGAACTACGTCGTTTTCGAATGTATGAAATAATAATTTTCAGAGTACTTTTATAACAACGAGCAGTTAATGGGTGAAGCTACAGAGCAGTCGGTAAAAAGCTCAAAAATAGTACAATGAGTTTCATTTATTTCGGATTTTTTTTTCTTTTTCCGAGTTTCATGAGGTCTCGTCCAGCTTCCAATGATTGCGGTCACACGCGCCGTTTGTACAAACTCAATTAACGTTATGGCGAAATTTATGTAGCGAGGTTAATTTAAAAAAAAAAACAAAAAAAAAAGTAAGTACTTGCAACGGGAGCGCCAGGCTTATCGTTTTTGGATTTTAAAATCTTAGTTTTAATCTCTCTAGACAAATCTAATGATTTGTAAACCTTATTGACTGTACTAGGATTCGGATTGAATTTCTAATTGAAATCACTATATATTTTAGAAAAAAAAAATGTTTCGAGGTCTGAATGTGTATTTTCTTCTCTCGTGTTTATTTCCGATACGTATAACTACGTTGAACGTGAGACATGTGTTTGTTTAAAATAAATTATGGATTGTGTGCTAGGAAATCAGAAACAGACTTACCGATCAAAGACCATCATAGTATTGAAGATACAAACAATGGAAGAATATATCAAAATGATTACATGCGAAAAAGACCACAGTAAAAATATGTTTGAAGTCGTCGTGGCCTAAAGGATAAGACGTCCGGTGCATTCGTATCGAGCGATGTACCGGTGTTCGAAACCCGCAGGCGGGTACCAATTTTTCTAATGAAATACGTACTTAACAAATGTTCACGATTGACTTCCACGGTGAAGGAATAACATCGTGCAATAAAAATCAAACCCGCAAAATTATAATTTGCGTAATTGTGGTAGAACCTTTTGTGAGTCCGCACGGGTAGGTACCACCGCCCTGCCTACTTCTGCCGTGAAGCAGTAATGCGTTTCGGTTTGAAGGGTGGGACAGCCGTTGTGTATTCTAGAAAAAAAAAAACTTTTCTAATTCTCACAGAAACTCCGTTTTGTTTTATTGCCCTTGTAGGCAGACGAGCATGCGGCCCACTTGACGGCGAGTGGTTACCATCGCCTAAAGATGTCAGCAATGCCGGAAGCAGAGTCAAGCCGCTGCCTACCGTTTAATACTCTCCACAAGCCTCGTTTGAAGAAGGACATGTCATAGCGCTCGGGAAACACCGTTACGAATTTACGTAACGAATATTCAACTATTCACTTTTCAAATATATTTTTTACTGGTGGTAGGACCTCTTGTGAGTCCGCGCGGGTAGGTAGCAGCCGTTGTAACTATACTGAGACCTTAGAACTATATCCCAAGGTGTGTGGCGTATTTACGTTGTAGATGTCTATGGGCTCCAGTAACCACTTAACACCAGGTAGGCTGTGAGCTCGTCCACCCATCTAAGCAATAAAAAAAAGAACAGGAAATCAGAAACAGACTTACCGATCAAAGACCATCATAGTATTGAAGATACAAACAATGGAAGAATATATCAAAATGATTACATGCGAAAAAGACCACACTAAAAATATGTTTCGGGAGCATTGATACCTAATACCCGTTCCACCTCAGTCCGCCCCCAACAATAAGTTCTCATTGCGCTCCGATCTAATTCTTGCCACGTTTCAGATACCCATTAGTGTCATACAAAACGTATGTCTATTTATGTGTATTTTACATTCGAACGATAAAACCCCAAGAGTTTGGTCACGTTCCGTTGGGGGAATCGCGTTACGTCTTTGTTTTATGTTTAAAGTTCTCCCAAGAATTATT